GGGCCGGGGGCTCCTGCTGCCCACCGCCCGGGTTGCTGCTGCGCGCCGCCTCCACGCGCGCCCGCCCTGCTCTGCCACCCTCCCTCCGGCTCCTCTCTTTCTCTCTCCCCCTCTCTCTCTCTCTCCCTCCTGCTCTCTCTCGCGCTCGCTCGCTCTCTCGCTCGCTCGCGCTCTCTCCCTCCCTGGAAGAAGGGAATGAGGCAGGGCTGACGTGAAGGGATGCTAAACAGCTCCTCCTAAGCCAGCTCGCAGAGGAAGAGAGAGACAGAAAAGCAGCCCTTTTATCTCTCTTTTGTTTTCTCACTTCCTTCCAGCACCCCCCCCAGCACCCCCCTCTTGCCGGCCCAAGTTTTCTTTTTCTCTTTCTACCGCAGAGAGGATTTTTCTTCTTTTCTTTCTCTTTCTTTCCGAGCAACTCTCCTACTCGAATTGCAAGCCTGGAGGCTTCTCTTTTTTTTTTTTTCTTCCCCTTTCCTCTTTTCTTCCTCCTTCCTCCTTTCTTATTTCTCTAAAAGGGTTTTGTTTGCTGAGGGAGTTTCGTTTGAAAATCGAGTCACGCCTTTTTCCTTCTTTTCTTTCTCCCTCTCCTTTTTTTCCCCCCTCCTCTCAGCAGAAAAGGGGAACAAAGATTAACAAGCGGGGGAGAAGGGAGCCTCAGAACCTCGAATGGAAATGGGGGGCTGTCCCTGCCAGGCACAAAGGGGGCCCGAGAGAACAGCCCCCCCCCAGGAAGCCTGGGGTGTCCTATCCCAAAGAAGAGCCACCGGGATGGGGGTCCGGGGGAGCCCCTGGGTGCCCAGTCCTTCCGAAATACGGGTAGGGGCTCTGAGTCCGCCCCCTCCCAACCAGGGGTGGAAGCTGGCGGCGCGGGGGGGGGGGTTGCTCTTCACTTAATATATTTTTTAAGTGGGCAGATGGGCTTGGAGCAAACGCAGCCGCAGAGCCCTGCACACTAAAGCGCCTTTAAACAGCTGTTCAGAGCCCTGGACGGTCAGACTCGAGGGAACGGCTCCGGCTGTGATCGCCGGGACCCGTGTGCGAAGGGGTTCAGGGGAGTTCAGCTCCTCGCGGCCTCCCCAAGCCCGGGGCCTAGGTTCGGCCCCCGGGGTGCACGGCTGGGGGGCGCCGAGGCGTGGTCGTTAGCTGAGGTCTGGGCCCGTGTGGCTCCCTGCGGGGCCCGGGGTTCAGCCTAGCCTGGCCTCCTCCCAGCTCTGGGACAGGCCGGACACCCCGCCTCCAACCTCCCGGACACCCGCCACTCAGCTGCGCCGCTCGCCTCCGACGCAGGGCGGGTGCCGAGCCCGCGGACAGAGCCGGGCAGTGTCGCCACCAAGGGTCAATTATTCATGGGGCGCCTGGGCGTGCTCCCAAGACCAGCTCTGTCCTCGGCTTCTCCGGAGGAGTGGAGACAACACGGGGGAAAAGTTCCCAGAGCAAAGTTGGCCACATTTCTTATTTTCCCAAGTAAGTATTGAGCACCTGCTGGATGCCTGGCCCTTGGACTGGGGCTGCAGCTGGGCGAGAAACGTGAGGTCTCGGCGGGCCCAGACAAAGCGAGGGAAGCTGCGGCTCCGGACCAGGTCACCGAGCAGAAGAGAAGCCTGGATCCTCTCCCCTCCCTGCGCTCTTCCTTCCCCTTCCCTCCTTCCTCCGGGCTGCATCTCCTTGGCTCCACCCCTTCTCATCAATTCCTCCCCCACTTCCCTGCTCTCCCTGGCTTTTCACTGGAGGGTCCCTTCTCCCAGCTAGGAGCAGACGCTGAGCCCCATTGTCTCTCCCCCAATGACTGCAGCCTCCCAGGGATAGGACCAGCCACTCCTTCCCCTCCCCCCAGCCCAAAGGCCTGGGCCTTTACTGACAGGAGCCCCAAGGCCACTGCCCCTCGCCCCACCCTGCACCAGCTCACGGAGCTGTGAGCAATGACTCCAGTCACTCAGAACATGATTTATTTCTGGCAAGGAGTGAGAAAACAGAAGCCAGAGAGTTTGGTTCAGCAAGAACGACCCCATGATTTCAGGCTCCGCTCACTGGGCCTCTCGAGTGACCCCCGGGGCTTCCCAGTACACCCTTTCAGTAGGGAATGCAGGAAGCCACAGCCCTGTCATTACCTGCCGCTCTTCAGAACACCCAAGCCATATCCTCCAGAAAAGAGATAAAGTCATCTCTGAGAGTCGAGTGTCCATTCATTCAACTACGCTCACTATGTACCTGCTGTGTGCCAGCTCCTCGGCCTGGTGCTACGGACTTGACCACCAGCCAGTCTGGTTCCTTGTTCTCTGGCTTTGCAAACTGGTAGAGGAGCAGGAGACAGCTGGGCCTCAGAGCCAGACATCATGTATGGTGCCTACTTGTAGTCCCAGCACTTGCAAAGCTGAGGCAGGAGGATTGTCAGGAGTTTGAGGCCAGCGTAGGCTACATATTAAATACCAGGATAGCCAGGACCATTATAGCAAGGCCTTGTCTCAACAAAACCAAAAAGAGAGAGGCACAGTTGTGCATGATTATAATCTCAGAGTCTGGAAGGTAGAGACAGGAAGATCAGAAGTTCAAGGCCAGCCTCAGCTACACAACCAGTCCCAGCTGGACTAAGTGAGACCCCTTCTCAAAAAAATAAAAAAAGCGTGGGGGTGGGGACAACAGACAATTAGAGTGTAGTACGTGGAAGCACCTCAGAGGACAAGGGTGGTCAGTGAAGGCTTCCTGAAGGTCATCGAGGTAAGTAGGGCTATCCCAGTCTAAAGCATGGGAGGGAGCCAGGTGTGGTGGCACAGGCCCTTAGTTCCAGCACTTGGATGGCAGAGGCAGGCAGATCTTTATGAGTTTAAGGCCAGCCTGATCTATGTAGTTCCTGGACAGCCAGGACTACACAGAGAGACTCTATCTCAAAACCACAACAAAAAAAGCGTGGGAGGGAACAATTTGTCTGCAGGGCAAAAAAGGACATTCTAAATTCTAAGAACTGTTGAGTTCTAGCAGCCAGGCCTGTTGATACACGCCTTTAATCCCAGCCCTGGGGAAACTGCAGAGGCAGGTGGATCTCTGTGACTTTGAGGCAGCCTGGTCTACATAATGAGTTAGAAGCCAGCCATGATGATATAGAGAAGTCCTGTCCAAAAGAAAAAAACAAAACAATTCAAGTACTTGCAGAAAATACAGAGTACATGCTGGGGAAGAGGATGGTTGTGGGCACAAGCAGAAGACAGGGTTAGTGTCAGGGAAATGTTCAGAATTTATCCCATTTCACTTGCCAGCTTCCTCAACGTAAGTGACTAATATGTTCAGTAAATAATGTAGCCCCAGTTTCCTGCCTTATAAAAACGGAGGTAACTGAAGTCAGGTGATGATTAGACACACCTTTAACACCAGCGCTCTGAGGCAGAATCTGGTGGAGCTTGTGAGTTTGCAGCCAGCCTGCTGTGCCTAGAAAGTTCCTGTTTGAAAAGAGAGCGAGAATCGAAATAAGTAAGTAAAAGAGCTGTAACTCTAGCTGCCTGGGAGACTGAGGCAGAAGGATCACAATTTGAAGGCCAGCCTGGGCAACATATAGAGACCATGTCTCAAAGTGTAAGAAAGTGGGCTGGGAGTGTAGCTCAGTGGTAGAGCACCTAATCTAGCATGAGTGAGGTCCTGTGTTGAATTCCCAGAGCTACCAACATAAAAAAATCTAAGTTCAAGGCCAGCTTGGGGTACATGGAGAGACCCGGCTTCAAAATATTGAACAGAGGATATAAAAGGGGGGGAAGCCGGGCGGTGGTGGCACACGCCTTTAATCCCAGCACTCGAGGCAGAGGCAGGCCTGGTCTACAGAGTGAGATTCAGGAAAGGCGCAAAGCTACACAGAGAAACCCTGTCTCAAAAAAACCAAAAGTGGGGGGAGGGGGATAGACCTATGGGCTGTTGAGTATCTTGTGTTCAGGTGCCCAGACTTATGTGACATAGATCTGTGACTGAGTCAACCACTGATCTACTCATCTATAAGGATGCACATACCTGCTTCCCAGTGTGCAGTGCGGCTTAGAAGAGCCCACACCTTGTGCTATTTGGTGCATAAGCACCAGTAATATATAGTAGCTTTTATTCACCATTACTGTAAAATGAAGGCGTGTCAGGGAGGCGTCCTTACAACCTAGAAATGGGAAGATGGGTTGAAACCGGAGTGACTCACAGGCTACAAAGGCAGAGAGCCAGCTGTGGCAGAGACATTCCTTCAAAGATGCCTTGTCCCAGTAGGTGGCTGGCATGGCGAACACCCACATTTGATCGAGATGGCCAGGATATCATCTCAGGAG